CTATATCACAAAGATATTGCTCAGTGCTTTATTTTCTTATGCTGCTTTTGTTACACTAGCATAGGATATTATATGTCTTGTATAATGTATAGTTGTACCTAATTTGATTTGTAACCTGGCTTTCAAAGTTTTATGTAGCTTTAAAACATGTTTAATTTTTTGTTCAAAATGAATGAATTTTATGAAAACCTTTTGTTTTACGTGAAGTGTGAGTAAATATAGCTCCTATATCGGAATCTTGTGGTCACATTTGTTAATATGGAAAGACTTGCAAAATGCTGATGGTTATGTTGTGAAACAATTTTGGTGGAGACTGAGTTGTGTAATAAATCACATCACTTGCTGTTTTGTTTTTAGCAACTGCGTCTACTTGGGTTGGACTTAATTGTAATCTGCTCATCCACAACTGATTTATTCAATTTTCCATCCATGGATAATTAGTGCTCTTTTGAACGTGGGGGTAGGAGCATCCTTGCAAATGTATTTTCCTGTTTACATGCAGGAGATGCTTGGCTTATATTTAGAGCTAGAATTTCTGGGTTATTGGGTTTGTGAAAGGTCTACTCCAAAAAGATAAATCCTGAAATAAGCCCTGCTGAGATAATCTACTTTGACGATAAAGAGGGTGGGGGAACCCATAATTATCCCTGTACTGATACACAGTCTTAATTACTATAGCTTTATAATAAGTCTTTATATCTGATGGGATAAACCCATCCTTCTTGTTCTTGCTCTTCAGAAGCTGGCTTTTTCAGGAGATTCTTTCCTTTTCCAGAGCCATTTTAGAATAAACATTTCAGATTTTGCTACAAACTTTTGGGCTTTTGATTGCAATCTTATTAAATCTCTGGGTCATTTTGTAAATAATTCCATTTCTAAACAACTGGGAGACTACGTAATTTCTTTTCTACAACATCTAATGGCCAGAACAAGTACCACAGGGTTTCATAACAACTTTTTTCTTTTTTTTAGACAGATTCTCACTCTGTTGCCCAGGCTGGAATGCAGTGGCACGATCTTGGCTCACTGCAACCTCCACCTCTCAGGTTCAAGTGATTTTCCTGCCTCAGCCTCCCAAATAGCTGCAACTACAGGCGCACCACCACACCCGGCTAATTTATGTATTTTTTGTAGAAATGGGGTTTCACCATGTTGGCCATGCTGGTCTCCAACTCCTGACCTCAAGTGATCCACCCATTTTGGCCTACCAAAGTGCTGGGATTACAGACATGAGTCACTGCGCCCAGCCATCATAACAAATTGTTAATAGTGACTATTTGACAGTGACCATTTTTAGTTGAAATGAAATGTCCAGATGGAGAGCTGGAGAGGTTTTCTTATCACATCATCAAACTAACCATACATCTAATTGTTTCCTAGGAAACAAATGGGGATTGATAGTTTAATTAAAATGGACAACTCAGCTAAGGGAAGGAAGTGTTAACACCTGGCTTCTTAGGAGCTATCACAATGGAAAGAGTGAGCTCAAGGCAAGTAACACATAGACATGATGATATTTTTGCAAAGTGCCTCTTAGCATCCTATCTCTGGACCAGCAATGCTCCAACAAAGACTTTGTCTTAAATTTGCTGCATCTTAAGAAACAGCTTTGGAAAGAACGGTAAAATCTCCAAGCTTTAGGATCCTCCTTAACATTTGCTCACTAGCTGATTCATTTCGATCCCTTGGAGATTTACTTTGAAAGAGAGTACAGTTTGCAAGTTGCTACCACTCTATAGATAATAGAATTTGTTATTTGATTTAGACTCCAGGCATTTGCAAATGAAAGGGGTACAATTTTCTTGTTTGATTTGAAAATGTCAACTCCACCTCCAGTTCCGCACAGTCCCTGACTGGCTATGGCTCTGAACTCAGGCTTGGTGATCTGAGTATTTTTTTAATCAGGAGTATGTGGAAAAGCCAGGCGGCTTGTTTTATTTCTTGGTTGTTTAGCCTTCTTTATCTTTTTAACATCTGTTGTTCATTTCAGATATTTTTAAAAACAAGCAAGATTTAAAGTCATCCTGCACATGACGGTCTCATTGTCTGGACGTTGCAAAACAGTTCCATGCAGGAAGCCAGATTGGTGCAGTCTCAGTTTTGTCAAGCTGTTTTTAGAAGAGATGTTTGAAAATAGGCATGGCCAATAAGAAGCTGATTTTTTTTTATGCCAAGTACTTTTGTTTGACTTCAGATGGCTTTTCTCCAGCCCCCAGTTCTGTTGTCCTGTCTTCAACAGGCCTGGCCTTTCTAGCCTGGCTTACTGCATAGGCTTCCCACCTTGCCTCCAGAATTGCCCTGCTGGAACCCGTTCTTCATTCCACAGCCAGAAAGATCTTTCTACAATGCAAATCTGGCTGTGTACTTCCTCTGTTGGAACCACTCCTGTGCCTTTCTGTTGCTCTCATGCTGAAGGTATCTGGTCCTGTTTGACCTCTTCAGGTTCAAGTTCAGCACTTTCTGCCCTTCCCCAGGATCCCCGTATGTTGTCTCTGTTCTGAAATTCTGCACGTGCCTTTGCCTCTTTTTGGAGCACATCTTCCTCCTTTTTTTTTTTTTTTTTTGGCTTTTTGTCCTTCAGGTCTCCACTTAGCCTTGATGTCTTCATCGTTTCACTGATTATCAGTAGTAATTACTTGTGCCTGCATTTGACTATAACCCGCCTTCTGTGACTGATTCCCCAATGCTGCCTAGCTCCAAGCATAGGAAGCTGTCTGAAAATTTGCTGTAGGATACTTGTTAGTGTTCCACTTTTATAAATGATGCTGTGTTAGTTCAGGTTTATCCCTCATGCAAAGAGTTTTGTTGATACTTTCTTACCACATGTTTCTTTGGGCAAAATGTCTAAGTCACAATTTCTGTAATGTGATGTCCTGGGTTAAACTATCAATGACAGGCCAGACACGGGGGCTCATGCCTATAATCTCAGCACTTTGGGAGGCCTCTACTAAAAATACAAAATATTAGCCAGGCGTGGTGGCGGACACCTGTAGTCTCAGCTACTCAGAGGCTGAGGCACAAGAATCACTGGAACCCAAGAGGCGGAGGTTGCAGTGAGCCAAGATCATGCCACTGCACTCCAGCCTGGGCAACAGAGGGAGACTCCATCTCAAAAGTAAAAAATAAAAAAAAAAAAAGACAAAATGTACAGAGAAGGTAGAGATGGAGTGACTGCAAAGTAAGAGAATTTGTCATATATATTTGTGAAGAACTGAGAACTCATTTACAAAGGATGATTTACAAATGATCCAGTCATATACTAAGCTAGCAAGAACAAAGAAAGGGATAGTTTAACCGGTGTTATCAAGAGCAATTTTAAATTTCTGAGCTTTGTAAATCTGAATAACATTTCAAAGACTGTGAAAGGACAAGATTTTAATCCTAATAATTTATAACGCACAACTTGAATTGTCTGATAAAATATTAAAACTGGTTAATTTGCTTCTCTGGGGAGAATTCTGTAGTTAAAAATGATATATGGATAAACAATGAATGAAATAGAAATTAGAGATAGAGCCATGAAATTTACATAATTAGCTTTCCACCTATCTCAAGGCGAAAGAGTCCAACTGGGAAATTCCCCCTGGGAAATAGATATTTAAGAGATTTTTCAGATACAGACCATTGGGCAGCCTTTTAAATATTTTTCAACAAAAGAATCAATACAATCTCTTGGTACCACACTCAGTGACTTGAGTTAACTCTTTTCACGGTTTTAATTGTGATCCACTTGCTCACGTTTTAATCCATTCAGGTCAGCTTCTTCCATGTAATCAACGGTTTGTTTCTCTTGCATTCAGAGCACATTATTTTTTCTTACCTTGGCTTTTATTGTTTTTATTGAAACGTTCTCCAGAGTTCTTTCTCTCTTCCATACTCATGTAACACGGTCTGAACATCTGATATTTTTATCTCCTCAGAATCTCTTTCCCCTATCCTGTGGTAACAGCGCCCTCCCATTATTTAGGAATGTCCTCTCCCCACTCTATGTTATTCTCCTGGCTTCTTTTAATAGTGGCATATTTCCCATGACCAGCTTGTGTCTTAAAAGTGGCCATGCAGAGTGTACCTTCACATTTGAACCTCAGGCTAATTGGTCTTTCTTTAACTATGCTTCGGAAAAGAGAATATTTTTTGTTGTTGTTGTTGTTTGTTTGTTTGTTTTGTTCCTGGGAGTTGCTGCATTGGGAAGATAAAAGTCTAGAGCCATCCATAGGCCGTCTTGGACTGCCTAATCGGATAAAGCAGGAAATTCTGATTTTGAGTTGGGATTTGTTACTTACCACTGAAAGAGTCTTGAGAGATCCATCAAAGTGTTCAATTATATTGCTATTTGTATTAGTATTCAATTGAGGACTATTCTTCCCGCTAAATTGTAAGCTCTATGAGGGTAGGAACCAAGGTTTGTTTCCTTTTTTTTTTTTTTTTTTCGCTTGTTTGTTTTCTTGGCACCTTTCATAGTGCACCTTTTCATAGAATGCAATTAATAAATACTTAATGATTTTTTCTGCATAATTTCATTTGGTAGGGCCTATTATCAATGACCATTAAAACGATTCAAATCTCAGATGTCGAGTGACATTCACCAGATAAGTCATAATTTGTGACTGTGATAGATTCTTTCTTCTCTGTTGGTTTTCTTGGGTAAATTTTGTCCCATTCTGATATTACATATTCAATTCTTGTACCTGGGTCTTATTTTTCTCATCTTTTTTGGTGTTTCACTTACCGTCTTCCTTTATTTGGTCGGCAATTCCTGTTGTCATTTTATTTTTCCTGTGGGAATAGATAAACTTTCCAGGCACTGGAAAACCATGAAAGAGAGGCTTTAACTCATCTTTTTTTAACTTTTATTTTAGGCTCAGGGGTACTTGTACAGGTTTGTTATATAGATAAACTTGTGCCACAGGGGTTTGTTGTCACCCAGGTAGTAAGCTTAGTGTTCCTCCCCTTCCTCCCACTCTCCACCCTCAAGTAGACCCCAGTGTCTGTTGTTCCCCTCTTTGTGCCCATGTGTTCTCATCATTTAGCTCCCACTTATAAGTGAGAGCATGTGATATTTGGTTTTTTGTTCGTGCATTAGTCTGCTAAGGATAATGTCCTCCATCCACTTTCCTGCAAAGGATATGATCTCATTCTTTTTTGTGGCTGTATAATATTCCATTGTGCATAGGTACCACATTTTCTTTATCCAGTCCACCATTGATGGACATTTAGGTTGATTCCACATCTTTGCTATTGTAAATAGTGCTGTAATGGACGTTTGCATGCATGTGTCTTTATGGTAGAATGATTTACATTTTTGACCCAGCAATCCCATCACTGGGTATACACCCAGAGCTTTAAGTCTTTCATGGATGACATAGCATAGCTTTTGTTAGTCCAATAATCTGTACCCAGAAAGAAGAGGCAAAAATCCCATCAAACAGACCATCAGTGCTCCATAGCCAATGCTTATTCATTTTGTTTAATACTTTTTTTAATTGGGATTCTCCAGAACTTTAAAAATTTAAAAATAAAACAAAAATAGTCTAACTACGCTCCAGACATAGCACCTACCACATAGTAGGCTCTTAATTTAAAAATTGTTGACTGACTTATTGAATAGCCTGCAAAGGTCTGTCTTGCGTCTAATAAATGTATTGACTCATTTCTCTTTCCATTCATTTATTCAATAACTAATCAGTAATTAAAAAGAAACACGGAGGAATGCATCAATACACTTATTAGAAATAAAATAGGCTGTTGTAGGTTAATTGGAAACCTAGCCACTCTATCTCATATTCTGTATACGTAAGTTGGAGACTGCCATATGTTACACATGTATGTGTGATGTGTACTTAAAATATATGGCATTTCTTCATATAATTTGAAATATCTCTGTGAAGTTCAATTTGCCTAATTTTTATATTAGTTAACCTTTTCCTCCACCGGGATAACTTCAGTTGGAAGATGTTTCTACTGTCAATTGAATTTTGTAATTCACTGTGTGAGATAGAAAAAGACATGGTTTCTATACATAAGGGGTGTGATTTACAAGAGACTATATGCATGTATATAATGTGGAAATAGTGCAAGGGACAAACCCATACTTGTGGTTGCACAAGAGAGCTGGGGAAGAGTCCCACGGGGGTGTGCGTTGTGGGAAAGTTCTCCAGGGAAGACAACATTTGATTGTCTTGTGGTTGCTAAAAGGATTCTTTTGATGCCAGATGGGCTTGAGTCCAAATCTTGGCTCTAAAATTTCCTTGCTGCCATTTTGACCTTGGGCAAAAATATTAACCCCCGAACCTCCATTTCTTCATCTATAACACAGCAGTAAAATTACTCATCTCTCTAGTCATACTAACGGTTGTGAAAAATGTCTGTTCTCTGAAGGTTTGGTGGGTTTCAATAGAAGAAAATAAGGACGTTGGAAGTGGGAAGTTAAGGATGTCAGAGGCAAAAACAAAAATGGGCAGGGCAAGGCATGGCGTTTTCTCTGAAAACTTTACTTAATCTTTTTAAATATTAGTTATCGATGTATCTATATTTCAAAGTGCCAGACATAAAGCCATATCACCTTCAGTCTAGTAATAGTCATGTACGGTGCTACTGTTGCAGGTCCGGGAAAAATTCAGGCCAATGTGAGCCTTTGATCGCCACTGGAACAGTAAATTGCAGCAGCAACATCTAACTAGGAGTGCTGACTGCACCTCCAGCAGGCTCAGACTTGCATGGCTGCCTGCGGGAATGCAAAGCGTTTCTCTTACTCACAACCCTCCCCCTCACTCATTGATAGCCTAGGGCCAGATTGGATGTGGAGAACATTATTCCAGTAAAACGTGCATTAAAAGAACACTCAAGGAGTTTATTTTTTAACAAACTCATGTTGTGTAAAATGAGATGAGGATCTCAGAAACAGTTTTCTTGGCATGGGCTGAGGACACGAAATGAAATTCTGCTGCGTCATCTACTTTGAAGCAAGAAAATAATACTTTGACCTTATGAATGTATTTGATTCTAGGGATAAATAAACCACCTTAGAAGATTACACAATTCCCTTGGATGACAAGTTAACTTTTTTTGGATAATGATGGTCTGTGTATAAGGGGATCCAAAATGCTACCTGTGCATTAGTGAATTAATCAAAAAGGTAAGCAAATCTGTGTGTAAGAACAAGACAGCTGTCCTAAGATTGAGTCAATGAGTAGAAGATAAGAAACGTCAAAATAAAAAATGAATACAAATCTTTAAAAACCTGCAGAGTTCAGAGTTTCCTGGGCATTTCATATTTCACTTTTTTCTTTTATTTTCTCCAGAACTGTACGGAGGCCTTTAGTGTTTTAGTTGAGGCCAGCCCTAAACATATGGACAATAGAAGTGGACGTCTTCATGGTGTTATTTGAGAGCAATGGAACCAGTCCTTGTTCCTGCATGAACTTGCAGGTTGTCAGTAACTTACAGAGTCATTTATTTGGGTTTAGGTAATATGTCTTGGAAAATGTGAAATATTGCAAGGAGGAGGAATGGTCATCCATATCCTCTGCATTTGAAACCTAGAACAGGTGTGCTAAAAAGACAGGTATAGTGTCCAGGTTTCAATGGACTGGGAAAGGAAGCCTTTGGCAAGGCCCCTGATTAGATCAAGAACAGCACAAAATCACTGAGAGAAAGAGAGAGGCAGAGAGAGAGAGAGAGTGTGTGTGTGTGTGTGTGTCTGTCTGTCTGTCTGTCTGTCTGTGTCTGTGAAGAGGCAAGGGATAACAAAGGCAGAGGGACAGATGTATCAAAAAGGGGCTGAGAGAAAACTGCTCAAGAAAGAGGTTAGGTGGTTCTGAGGACCGAATCAATATCCCATTTGCTACACTATCTGTGTACCATCTATGCCACCATTTCAATACACATCTGGCAATAGACTGTTAATATTACCAGACATTAGTAGAACTTTTCAAGCTTTCCAAATTATGTAATTGGATTAGCCTATAAACTAAACAAAATTGGCTCAATATATAGTTGTTTCGAAAGGACTGACATAACTGAATTAAAGTGACATTACTATGCTGTTAGGTTGGGGTTGATGGTGAGGTTTAGCTCTGCAAATAATTATTTATTCACTCTACAAACATTTGCTAGATGTATCCTATCCTCCTAGCTTTGTGATGTGAAGGGATACAAAATACAGCCTTTGCCAGATAGAGGTTACCATAAAGTATTGAAAATAGGAAAGTAAAAAGGACAATTGTAAGAAAATGTGGTGTGTGTGTGTGTGTGTGTGAGAGAGAGAGAGAGAGAGTGGTGGCATTCACTATGGCATTGAGAAACGGGAGCATAGGTCTTAGCCTGGAGAGTCAGGGAAAGCTTCCTAGGGAAGTATGTCTGGGTCTGCATTTGAAGTGTGAGTGACAGGAGGGCAGAGTTGCTGGAAGGGCATCCTGAACAGAGAGAACACTCCTGGGGCAGAGAACTGTGAAATCTTCAGGGAACTGCCCTTGCCTGTTGGGCAAGAGCAGGCGCAAGATTAGGAAGGGCCTTGCACACCCAGCTGGGTGTTGAATTCTCCCATGAAGTGGACAGCTGGCCTAAACTGCTGACATTTCAGATGTAAGCAACCGCACCCAGACCGATTTTTTATCAGCTGAGTAACAAACTCAGATGGACTCTTAAAAGGGTCTCTCTAGCAGTGGTGTGGAGAGCAGCTAGGAAGCGCAGGCCTGGAGACAGACCCAATTCAGCACTGCTGGATCAATAAAGATGGAATGTGATGCAGGCTTCAGATCAGAGGACAGCTAAGATAATTCTCATGTTTTCCAGGTGCTTTATGGAATAGAAAAATGAGCTCAACCTTAGACTTGGCGAGTACTGAGGTGCTCATGGGACGTACCAGTGGCGACAGCAACTCTCCCAGGACTGGGGCTCAGCAGGGAGGGCTCAGATGAGTTCAGGATGTCAAATCATCGAGGTGTACCTGGTGGTGGTGGAAATCAGCCAGTGAGCAGGAATAATCAGAGAAGAGCAGAGGGTCAAGGTCAGAGTCTTAGAGAGCTGGTCTGGGAAGGGGAAACTGAGGAATGGGCCCCCAGGCGGGAGATACAGGAGGAGCAACGTAGAGTGAGAGGCAGATTAGGAAAAGCATCACTAGGGCAGGTCAGGGAATTCAGTAAGAGTGGTTTTGGTGGAGGAATGGTGGCTAACTGGTGGCAGATTGTGGTAGGATAGTGATGAAGATCAGAGAAGGATGCAGTAATGTGGATGACATACCACCCTTTTAAAAAGCATGGCTGGGATCTGGGTGTGTTGGCTCACAGCCGTAATTTCAGCACTTTGGGAGGTTAAGATGGGAGGATCACTTGAGCCCAGCAGTTTGAGACCAGTTTGGGCAACAAAGTGAGACCCCATCTCTCCAAAAATAAAAATAAAAATATTAGCAGGATGTAGTGGTGCACATCTGTGGTCCCAGCTACACAGGAAGCTGAGGTGGGAGGATTGCTTGAGCCAAAGAGGTTGAGGCTGCAGTGAGCCAAGACTGGTCCACTGCACTCCAGCCTGGGCAACAGAATGAGATCCTGTCTCAAAAGAAAGTAAAAAAAAAGTATGGTTGGGAAGTAAATGACAGAGAGGGAGTGGCCAGAGGGGAACGTAAGGGAAGAGGGTTTTTTTTTTTTTTTTTTTTTTTTTTTGCTGGCAAAGGAGATTTGAGCTCATTTATAGGCACGGGGGAAAACAATCAGTAGATGCATAAGTGAGTTGAGAATCTATATGACCAATACAGGAAACCATGTTAGGATCATTGTCTCAACAAAAATGATCACAGCCCTCCAAAAATGCAACTTGACTTTAAGAAGGCTTTCTTTTATCACATGCAAGAATATTGCTGTGACATCTAATAAAAATTTAATTAAGACTTAGATGATATCACATTTTATGTAATCTGAAGTCCTTAAATCCATGAAATCACTCAAATAGAATCAAGTCTGTTGGAAAGAGAATCTCATCTTAAGAAGTGACAGCAGGAGAAATGAATAAGTTCCATTTTATTTTATCAGTGAGGTCTGGGGCTACGAAATGGTTCTAACAGCACAAAGAAATAATAGCTGCTTTCGAGAACAGGGTATGTAAAATAATTTGTTTAGTTTCAGCCACTTTTGAAAGCCAATTGTACACCTTGAAAGAAAGGCAATCCTGACTCCATTGTTCTTTCGCCAATAAGTAGATCGGGCATTACAATAATAAATAGAAGAAAGAATGTTGTTTTTCCTCGCTGTAATTAATTTTAAGGTTCTTGTGAAGATGAATTTTTGTGGTGAATAAAATAGTCCCTTGCACATATTAGGTACTGAGTAAGCATTTGTGAAATATGGATTTTCTAGCCTTTATTTGTGTTTAAGGAATCAAGGAATAAAGCTCAAAATTGACTTTCAAGAAATTTTTGGAACTCTCTTCTCCCTAAGAAACTGTAAAGTCTTATAAAAGAGGCATTATTTATTTTCTCCAACTATTTCCTGCTAGGTGAATTAAAGGTTTTTTTTTTTTTTTTTTTAAATCAATAGTTGTTTTATAAGATTGTTTGAGGACTAAAAGGGCTGATTGTAATCACCTGTAACATGCTACCCAGCAAGACATTCCTGACCAGGTTGAAGTTAAGAAAAAAAATGAAGAAGTGAAATATCAAGCTTATGCAAGTTTGAAATTACAAACAAGAACAAAAGTTAAAACCCATAAGCCCTTCTTATCAGTAGATTATCTTTCAGGATAGATTATATGGTTGTTTCTCTTAGTAATTGCAACATTGCTCTGTGTTCTCAGTGAGAGAGAGACAGAGAAACAGAGAGAGAGAGAGAGTGTGTGTGTGTGTGTGTGTGTGTGTGTGTCTGTGTTTGTTGGTGGGCAAGCAGGGACAAATAAAGGAGTTGGAAAGAAAGTAAAGATGATAAATGGGTGGCTTAGGTCAGGTTCTGATAATTTTACAATATTTATGGATGAACGCTAAGGTGGTTACATACTTTGTGCTTGCTTAAATGTTCCGACCTAGTTTAACTTTGTAATGCATTGCAAACACAAAAACACCAAAATGCAAAATTAATGGATTTTGCAATTTGTTTTGTAAGACATGCAGAAATGCTAATGTAGAATATAAATGTGCATCAGTCTGCAGTGATCGTTCAGCTTGTAACTGAAATTGTTAGGTCATTTATCATTGTTTGTCTATGTAAATTGCTTTGTCACATGCTTCCACATAAATCAGCAATGGAGGCCTGTCCCTTTTGTTTTGGTTTAGTTTATTTCTTGTTCACGTAAGACTCTTAACCTGACAAGATGTTAGCAAAAAGTGACTAACATAAAACCATTTCCTCTGTCCATTACTTGCATTTTGGTGAAACAAGAAGGAAAAAATAGTTACAATTCAATACATTTATATATTTATTGATTTATTTATTTTTGAGACAGGATCTCGTTCTATTGCCCAGGCTGGAGTGCAGTGGTACGATCAGGACTCACTGCAGCCTGGAATTCCTGGGGCTCAAACCGTCTTTCCACCCCAGACTCCCCATAGTTTTAAATTTTTTTGTAAAGACAGGGTCTTGCTATGTTGCCCAGGCTGGTCTCAAACTTTTGGGCTCTAGCAGTCCTCCCACCTAGGCCTCCCAAAGTCCTGGGATTACAGGTGTGAACCACCATGCCCGACTAATAGATAACTTTAAAAAATTTAAACTTCCAGTTTCCAAATACTCACTTGTATTGCTAGAATAGACTATGGAATTATTTATTTGCATATAAAAGACTGGAAACAACTCAAGCTTTTAATATTTTCTATGCTATTTGTTAACTTTACTCTGTGGTTTTCTAGCCCATGATAATAAATACAACATCGGCAATCTGCAATCAGAGGAATTTAAGTCCTAGTAAAACAGACAAGTCACTTTGCTATAGTCTCCTTAAATTTATGGAGGTGTTGAAATGCTTTTGAAAAGTGTGAGCTCAGATGAACTTAAGTCAATTATTCAATCTTATAGAACAAAGATAGACATATTTGTCTGCTATAAAAGCCTATTTTGGAAATTGTGTGTGACAGTGTACACAACTGCAGCCTGTTCAAACAGTTCCATCTGAATTATTCTTAATTGAATTTACTTTCATGGTTATTTCATAATTGGGAATAAGGATAAATAAGTGTGATACAATTGCCGATTTTAACAATGTGCTGGTTGATTAGAAAAGTGGTGACACATGCAAACTGGATTGTGGCACTCACCAGTGAATTCTGATGATTGTGGATGTTACAAGTTTAAGCTTCAGCTCCTTATAAACATCGCTTAAGATTACTGCTCTGGGGCCAGGTGTGGTGGCTCACGCCTGTAATTCCAGCACTTTGGGAGGCCGAGGCCAGTGGATAACCTGAGGCCAGGAGTTCAAGACCAGCCTAGCCAACATGGTGAAACCCCATCTCTACTAAAAATACAAAAATTTTCCAGGCATGGTGGTGGGTGCCTGTAATCCCAGCGACTTGGGACACTGAGGCAGGAGAATCCCTTGAACTCGGGAAGCAGAGGCTACAGTGAACAGATATCCTACCAATATCCCACCATTGCACTCCAGCCTGAGAGATGAGAGCAAAACTCAGTCTCAAAAAAAAAAAAAAAGTTACTGCTCTGCTACCTTCAGCTTAGAAACAACAGAGAAAGGTCTAGAAAGCTTGTCCAACCCACAGCCCACATGCCCTGGGCATGTGGCCCAGAACAGCTTTGAATGCATCCCAACACAAATTCGTAAAATTTCTTAAAACATTATGAAACTTTTTTGCAATTTCTTTTTAAGCTTATCAGCTATCTTTAGTGTTAGTGTGTTTCATGTGTATCCCAAGAGAATTCTTCCAATGTGGCCCAGGGAAGCCAAAAGATTGGACTCTGCTGGTCTAGACTCAGCTCACAGGGGCCTTAGAGATCTGGCCTGGATTTGATTCCAAGTTTCATCAATTATTTAATTCTGTGTCCTTGGGAAATTGCTTCACCCGCAATTCTTTGGTTTGGTCTTCTGTAAAATCAAATGATAATGCCCACCCCACATGTTTTTTTGTGTGTGTGATGATTAAAATATGAAACATAGAAAATTCTTAGTACCTGCTCTGGGGTATTCACCAGTGGTAGCTGTTACTTGTTTGTTAAACAGATTCTGGAGATACTCAACAGAGATGAATGTGTAATGGCAGACTCTTTAGAATGTAGATTTTGGGCGTACATCCATTTACTTTCTTGCTGCCTGTTAAGGTTACAATATGTATTAACATCTTATGATAATAAAGGTTGAATGAAAATTCACTTGCTTTCATTCTCCATAGCCATTGAGATCTTCAAACAATCTAAAATTTCATCGTTTGAATAGGTTGGCAGTAGAATTTTTTTAAATCACTTCCTGATAAGGAGAAATAATTGAAGACAAAACTAAATGTTAACTAATTTCCTGTGTAATGTTACTGGAAGCCTAAAGGGTTTGTTCACCACTCTCCTTTCATCTTCTGATGCACTGATGTCTTGCAGATTCTTTTCCTTCACTAAAATCTATCTTAGAAATGCCTGTGGTCAGCAATGTGTTTTGGATTGACAGTTAATATCTATATATAATTGTGAAATGCTAATTTTTTTTCAGGAAAGGAATTTCTTAGGATTAAAACTAAAATAAAAGTTTTATTCATTTGACTACAGAGAAGGGAGAAGATTAACATTAACTAAAAACTCAAGTGTTTAAGCTTTAGATAAGTATGCAGCTTTCAAATAAGATTACAAAACTTTCCTAGGTGGAGGATTTAGGGGCTATCTAGTCCAATCTCTTCATTTTACAAATATAACCCAGGACGTTTATGTGACTTTTGAAGGTCATAACCATAGTTGTGGCAGGCTCAGCCTTAAAATACTCTTTCAATCTTACTGTTATTAATATTAAATTTATCATTAAAAACTAAGTAAGTTCACAGTTCCGAGACAGAGTACATTGAATAGTAAGCTTTGGTAATAAAAATGCAATAAAAACACATTTTGTTAAAAAATTACACATCCTTATGCCTTGAGCCACAATGTATACATTCTTATTTCATCAAGGAACTTCTAATTTATATGACCTCATAAAAAAATTGAAAAAAAATTACTAGCAAAGGACAGTAAGGACTGGCCTATCCTCATTATTGCACTAAACATCATACCTGTGATACTACATGATTGAAGAGAATTTGGTAAAGAGTGTATATAATGGGTATATAATTTCAATTTTATTTTGGTGAAGCATTGAATATTACTGATTAGATATATACTATTCACGTCATTTGCTATTGTCAAAGAACTGATTATGACAGTGAAACAGATGTCAGAAAGCAATTACACTAATAACAACATGATTACCGCCACCAATTTAATTCCAGAAACCTGCCTAGAATCCTTATGAAGCAAGTAATTTTCCTCAGCTGTCTAGAATAGGCATTGATCTCTGTCCTTTACCCATCACAATCTAAAAACATTTAAGCATTTTTGATTAATGGTACCATGGAACATCAGCGTTCGAATCCTTCTCTTTGAATCTTACATCGTTTTCCAAGTGATTTAATTTCTTTTTGAAGCTTATTTTCACAGATGGAGGCTTGTTTCTTGGATTTGTTTTATTTATTTGACCATGATCACACTTTGAAATGTGCGCATTATGATTAAAAAATCAGCCCATGCCTGTTCTTTATTTTAAAAGTAATGTAAATTTTTAACTTGTTCTTCAGTATGTCTTTTGGTGTTCTACCTTTTTCACTAAATTTCAGTGTTTCCATTTTAAAATTTAATGATTTTCCTTATTTCATATTTCTTTCAAGTTATGAAGGCAATTCTGTTCATAATAGATATTTTAGAAGATTAAAGAGTATATAGAAGAAAAAATCTTGTTTATCATCTAGCGGTCAGAAATGACCATTATTAGAATATGGTATGTTTCAGGGTTTTTTTTTTTTTTTTATTGCTGCCTATCTGTCTGTCTATCTATCTATCTATCTATCTATCTATCTATCTATCTATCTATCGCTATATCTATCATCTTTTCCCCCTCTATTTTGGTCACTAGCTGTGACCTTAGACAGCTAGACTTCTGTGCCTTTCTTTCTTCATTTGTAAAATGAGAATAATAGCAACCCCTACCTCGTACGTTACTTTGAGGATTAAATTAGTTAATTCAGATAACATGACTAGCAGAATGCCAGATATAGGAAACTTTCAGTAAGTGCTAATGATTTTTATTCAGCATTGCTCATTTATATCTTATGTGCCTGTACATCTTTTCATTTCTGTTTGTATTTTATAGTGTACATAGTAGTATATATGTACATAGCAGTATGTCTATAATGTATACAGTATTATGTACATTATAACATACAAAAAATAATACAAATGAAAAGAAACAAAACACCCCAATGGATAATCTGTCATGCCCCACATTAAAAACCACTTGGGAGCAGGCACAGTGGCCTGTGTCTCTAATCCCAGCACTTTTAGAGGCCGAGGTGGGAGGATCGTTTGAGGCCAGGAGTTCAAGACTAGGTAGAGCGACATCCCAAAATCCTCATCTCTCCAAAAATTTAAAAAATTAGCCAGGCATGGTGGTGCATGCCTATGATCTCAGCTACTCTGGAGGCTGAGAATTGATGAGGAGAATAAATGATACTATTTACAGGTAGCTTCAGATTACTATATTTACACTGAGGTTTCAGATATACTGAAGCCATTTTGATAACTTGGTACTCTCTGGTGTTATCTATGTCTCTTCACTGAATGGAAATATGAATCAAGGACATCGTAACATGTTTTGAGGCTTATAAAATACTCACGGGTGTACAGTAATGGGTTTCAATGCTGGGATTACTTTTAGGGTTCAGTTAAATGTGTACATTTCCCACCCCTGTCCTTTCATAAGAAGTGTCCTGACAATCGCAGCTCCCAATGTCCTTGCTCTCTGTTGATTTCTCCCATGTACTACCCACTGAAACCTTGATCATTTAACTACCTTATTTTCCCACTTGTTTGAGTCACAGCATAATGAACATCTTTATAAGTAACACTCATGCTGACTTCAACTCAAAGGCCTAAAGATTATCTGCAAAACCTAAGCCAGTAAGAAGCTTTTATCTTGCTCAGACAAGGTGAATTTGAAGGCAGCTAAACACATTGCAAATTTAGAAGAAGGATGTAGGTCTTAACTTGTGGATAGACTTTTTCTCATATATGGGTTAATGAATATCCTTCTTTCCCTTGTGAATTCTTATTAATATAGGCCATAAATAGAGCATTCTTTTTTGCTCTATAAATGTTTATATTATCTGATATGATGTAAACAAATCTGATAGATGTAACTAAAAAAAGCAGTGCAGAGCTGAGTTATAAGTGTATTCAGTGTTTATTAGCTGAGATGTTTTCTCCACATACCTTCAATTTAAAAATATATTTTTATTCTTTATTACATATCCTCCTTCTTAGTAATGCTTTTAACTTATGTCACATTTTTTTCTATAAAATTTACCGAACCCCTAATGTCTATGCAACGATCTGCCACTATATCTAGAGTATTTTGGTTTCCCACCAACGTAGTTTTAAATCATATTTAGCACAATTGACTTATTTATGAATACTATTTGAAAACAAAGTGTCCATGTGGTAAACCAGCTTTTCACTGCTGCATTTTAAAAGATAACAAATGCAATGGATACCTATATTTTTTTTGTTTCACAATTTAAGGCTAAGGTATTAATTTGATAATTATTCAATATCGATTTATCCAATATCAATTTATTCTCATGTTCTTTATTTGTAGTTTTTCTGGGTTTCCAAAGAGTCTACCACTGTTATCGTAGTATTCCTCCATAAGGGCTCCATCCACGGGTACCACTGGGAACTTCTGGCTGCATTAAGGTATTTTCTAGCGAAGAAGAAAATCAGAGAGAGAAAAATAAATGTTAGAAAATAAGAGAAGTGAGAAATATAGAGGAAAAATGAGTAAATAACTAAATGTGGTACACATACAAAATAGTTATCTGAAAGAATGAAATTTTGTCATTTGCAACAGCATGAATAGAACTGGAGGTCATTATATTAGGTGAAATAAGTCAGGAACAGAAAGAAAGATGCCACATGTTTCTCATTCATATGTGGGAGCTAAAAAAATGTGATCTCCTGGAGCTAAAGAATAGAATGACTGATATCAGAGCCTGGGATGGGTTTGTGGGTGGTAAAGGGGGATAAAGAGGGGTTGGTTAGTGGGTATAAACATACAGTTTGATAGAACAAATAAGCCCCGACATTCTGTAGCAGAGTGGAGTGACTGTAGTTAGCAAAACTGTGTTGTGTATTTCAAATAGCTAGAAGAGAGAACTTGAAGTATTCCCAATACATAAAAATGATAAACACTGAAGGTGATGGGTGCCCCAAATGCCCTGACTGATCATTACTTGTTCTACACATGTGACAAAATGTGGCACATATTCTGCAAATATGTAAAATATTATGTATCTAAATAAACAAATAAAAATGGAAAAATTTAAAGAACAGATAAGACAGACACACAGGAAAGACAGACACTGTAGCGGGCAGCAATCTCAACATCAATTACCTCAATTTCTCTCTTGCAGAACATTTTCTGACATGACTGTGAAAAGCAAAAGTATGATTTGTTGAAAAATTAATCTGACTTTTAGTGGAGAAACTGGATTAGGATCATCGTTTATTTTGTAAATTTGTTTTTGAACCAATGGTTCCTATCCCAGTAGGTGGAGAGTTTCAGTCAAAATGACTAAGTAACCAAAAACCTGAATGAAGCTGGACATTTTCCTCGATGCTCACTGAAGTCTGTGCATGAGTGGGTAGAAACGTAGTGACTTAGTCAAAAGTGATGAATTACAAACCACTGTACACTCACAAATAGAGGAGGGCCTTGCTTTTCAAAGGCTACAGGAATGAGGGATTTTCTAATTCGATGTTGAGGTCATATAAAAGATCACTGTCTGGTCTTTTCTTTTTTCTCTTCTTCTCTCCTTTTTTTTTCTTTTTGAGGTAGGGCTCTTAAAAGCTCTGTTGTCCGGGCTGGAGTACAGTGGTGTGACCATGTCTCACTGCAACCTCTGCCTCCCAGGCTCAAGTCATCCTCCCACCTCAGCCTTCTGAGTAGCTGGGACTACAGGCGTGCATTACTACACCTGGCTAATATTTTCATTTTTTAACATTTTGTAGAGATAAGGTCTTGCTATGTTGCCCAGGCTGGTCTTGAACTCCTGAGCTCCGCCCTTGGCCTCCCAAAGTGCTGGGATGAGCCAATACACCTGTCCAAAAATGTCACTTATAATGGCCAAAATTCACAGGGTACTGGACATTGGAACCAGGAATATAGCCCCAGTTTTCGTTCAGGATCTAATCGTACAAGAAAATATCTTGCTTTGGTTATTCACTTCTTATGTGTGGTAGGAACCCGCTGGGCCATGACACAGGTTCTTCCTTAGCAAGCTGTCTGCTTCCAGACGTGGTTCTCATAGGGAGTTGCCCACCCCTAACTGTGGGGCAGGTCATTTCCCTTCTCTACTCTCCACGTTCCCTGTGTATAGAGGAAGGCCCTTGCATCAGGTCTGAAATTCTCACCGGGTGTGCCGTAACACAAACGTTATGCCAGTGTGCCCATAAATTGTAATAAACATGTAGGATTTGTTTTTTGCTGCAGCTTTGGAGAGACAATTATGGTGACTTCTTGTCAGATGAAATGTTAAACTGAACTGTAGAGAGTAGGGGTAATTTATCGCAAGCAGGAGGTGAAGTGTCACGTTAAGCCTGTGCCACGAGGTGTTCCTTGGGATCTTTGAAAACTCTTCTTCTGGGTGTTAATGATAGAGCAAGGCCCAGACAGGAAACCCTTCTCCCCAGGAAGTCATGCCATGTCAAGGGTGACCAAATTAGCAGTGATGCAGGGCAGGCGAGACCCAAAGTGGAGCTTACCCGATGAGAGTTTTTAGCTTTCCGCAGAAAATAATTCAAGGGCAAGCCAGAGGTAGAAGGAAACAGCTTTATGAAAGAGGCAGTGTTACGGCCCTAGTGATGTTACAGCTCCTTGACTGCTCCTGCAGAGCAGTCCAGCCCCTCAGCAGAGAGAAGCAGCTCAGGGCAGTTTTGCAGTGCTATTTATACCCACTTTTAATTGCATGCAAATTAGGAGGCAGTTCATAAAGAAATTTCCTAAGAAGGGGTAGTCTCTTTTGGGTCATTGGGTCATTGCCATGGAAAAGGGGTGGTAACTCCCAGGTGTTACCATGGTAATGGTAAATTGGCATGCTATACTGGTGGGCCTGATTGAAAGCTGTTTGCTTCGTGGTCCCGTTTTAGTCAGTCTTCAATCTGGTCCAGTGTCTGAGTCCTGGCCCTGGAGTTGAATCCCACCTCCTGCTTCAGTAGGGCTCTATCTGTGGAGGCTATTTATTTATTTATTTAATTCCTTCAGGTCAATTCTCTTTATTTCCAGAATAGCCTGCCCAGGTCAAAAACTTACAAAGCTGCACTCAAAGATTGCTTGAGTCCAACCTTTCACTTCTTCCTTCGTACCTCAAGTGTAGTCATGGCAACCACCCTAAAGAATAAATATAAACGTGATGCCTGTGCCAAAGGTGAGTAATTTGGATCTGGTTGTGGCAGGAAAGCTGTTTTTAGGGGAGGAGGAGGAGGAGAAAATAAAAGGAAAAGAGCATTATTTTTCTCCACTAATCCCCTATGATTTGATGTTTTTTACCATAGAAGATAAGATTAGAAAGAGAAAATGGAGGCTTTGTGAAGTGATTAAATCTCAAGGAGGCAAAAAGAAAGTCAAGTCTTACTGATGGGTTCTGAATCAGCTTATGAATTATCTTCTGGCTTTCAAAGGGACTGCGTTATTGATGTGATACCTTCCATTTATCTTTCTGCATATATCATACCTCTCTTTCATTATAAAGAATAAATCCTACTATAAACTTTCTTGGTCCATTACAAAAAAATTGATTTTTTGATTTGTCCATAATAAACCCAGTGTGGAAGACTTCCTTTATCTCACTAAACTTTTTTGGGGGGTCTGATATCAGTTACTCCCTTGGGAGCCAATGTCAGGATACACAGCACGGAAAGAGGGAAACGTGGAAGGACAGTCTCATAGGCCAAGACCCCAAGTAACATAGTTGATCTGGCATCAAGTGGCCATCTCAGAAGTGTGACACGCTTCCTGTATTAGTCTGTTTTCACACTGCCAATAGAGATATACCTGAGACTGGGTGATTTATAAAGAAACAGAGGTTTAATGGACTCACAGTTCCATATGGCTGAGGAGGCTTCACAATTATGGCAGAAGGGAAAAGGCACGTCTTACATGGCAGCAGGAAAGAGAGAGTGTGTACAGGGGGAATTCCTTTAATAAAACCGTCACATTTTTTGAGACTTATTCACTGTCAGAGAACAACATGAGAAAAACTCGCTCCCATGCTTCAGTTACCTCCCACCGGGTCCCTCGTACAACACTTGGGGATTATTACAGTTCAAGCTGAGATTTGGGTGAGGACACAGCCAAACCACAACACTTTCCCAAAAAATATTTTATTGGTCATTGTGTTCTATTTTACTTGAAGTTCTTCCTGAAAATAATACAGCATTTCATAGGCTTTTGTATATGTTTGAATGTGCATGCTTTCTATATTTGTTTAGAGGGTAGAGGAAAGTGCAGATGATTCCAAGTAGTGGATTTTCATGTGTGCCAAAATAAATGATCTGAGAACTTCTTCTGGGAACTCAGAAGGAGTCACTTTGGTTTGTGCAGGTCTGCAGAGCACATTTTAAGAACTACTGGCATAAGTCATTACCTCTGGTGGAAAAGGCTGCCTGGCATGTAGCTGTTAACTCAGTGGTTGCCCAAGTGCAGAGATTCAGCATTACCTGGGGATTTATAAGAAGAACTCTGGGCTTCAACTCAGATTTGCTAAGTCACAAACTCTAGGGGTGGAGCCCAGCAAACTGTACCTTAACAAGCCTCCGGGAAATTCCATACACATTTAAGTTTGAAGATCATTTTACTGCCCCCGCTCTCATTTTCTAATAATCCCGACCTCAATGTATTTCAGTCCAATGCTTGTCATAGCTAACATACATTCTGTTCTAAATGGTGTTATGGACTATGCTAAGCAATTCACATGCATGATTATGTTCTTGCAACACCACTATCACATAGAGTCTATATTTTGACTTCATTTTAAAGATGGGGAAACTGATGCTTACAGTGATATACTGTACTGGGATTACACAATTAGTAAATAGCAGGGACTGAGATCCACAGTGTTTAACTCCTAAATCTGTGTGACTAACCATAGAACTATTCATTGTGTATACCTACTGATTGCTAGGCTGTTAGATGCCAGTGTTAGAATAAAATAGTCGCCTACCCAGTGGAATCCCATTTTCATACATTAGAAATTGAGGTTGGGTGCGGTGACTCGTGCCGGTAATCCCAGTTTAGGAGGCTGAGGCAAGAGGATCACTTGAGCCCAGGAGTTTGAGACCCCATCTCTATAAAAAATTTTTTTAATTAAGAAAAAGAAACAATTGTCTTCCCTGGCTTTTTCAGTGCAAGCCGTTTCACCTAGAAAATACCATTTTCCTTCTCCTTTAATCCAGTTCTGTGGCTACTATGAAAATGAGACACAAGACCTACCTATTCCTGGAAGCGTTCTCTGCTTTTCGTTATGGAATGGATCCTTTCTTTACTCACTTCACCTCAGTTTTTGTTGTCATCTGTTGCTGCAGTTTGGTGGTTTTGCATTGTGTGTGTCTCTTACCTCTATTCCCTGCAGATGAATTGCAAATTCTTACAAGAGAGGGACTCTATCTGTTGGTGACTCCTCTCGGTTCCCCAGCAGGGTTCTTGACACAGGAGGCATCCAGTGAGGGTTCTTGAATGATAAGGATGTTTGTAAAATCTCTTCCATGCAAGTACAAATCTAGATTGGGTGAGGGAGGGAACCACCTGAGGCACTGGAGGGAAATGGCTAAAATAAATTGAAAATACGTAGTAAAAGTACCAAAAGAAGAGAGAACTGTTGTCATTGTTGTTAATTTGAATGTCCAAACATCTTCCATGTAGGTTAGTAGAGAATTTCAAATGTTTCCATGAAGTACCCAGTAGGATTGCAGTACTCCTTCTAGTGGCTGTGTTGTACCCACAGGCTGTTCTTTTTGGCTGCACTTGAATTTCATGAAGTGATGCTGTTTGCCTCTAAGGGCTTTGGAAAGGGAGGATGGCAGGTTTTTTTAATGAACTCACTCTTCTTCCCATGAAAAGAAGCCTTCAGAAAAGACAATTTCACTTCATTGCTATAACGTTGAGCAATGATACAAAATGTTTTTCACTTTAGGTGAGAAGTAAGAGTTGATTATGTGAAGAAGGAATCCCTATTAATGTCCTATTAATATCCTATTAATATTTTGTGTCACATATATTTAGGAAATTTTAAATTCCTTTGTGACCCTTCATTGCCCTTGTTTTTTATTTAATCATAGGGATTTATGGAATTTATACAAGCAGTTTTGCAACTCACATGTGTACATAGTTTTAAAAAGGAAGAATAGTATTTTTGTTTTAAAAGAAACAAGTTTATTGTAGATAATGGAAATTAAAAAATAAATAACAATAACATAATTCAAATGCATGTTTCTTTTCCATGTGGTGAATTTATTGATGTATATTATAAACTAGGATATGTATATGTAGACAAGTATTCTCTCTTACTCTCTCTCTCACACATATACACACAAGTTGCCAAATTTTTTAATGAAAACCTAATTCTACAAAATGAAATCTAATATAATATGATACATGGTATAGTTTGACTGTGGCCCCACCTGAATCTCATCTTGAATCGCAGTTCCCATAATCCCCACATGTCTTGGGAGGGATCTCATTGGAGGATATTAGATTCTGGGGGAGATTCTTTGTGTGAACTCATTCACTATCTCATGATAGTGATCTGATGGTTTTTATAAGGGGCCTTTCCCCCTTCTGCTTGGCACTTCTCCTTGCTGCTGCCATGTGAAGAAGGACATGTTTGCTTCCCCTTCCACCATGATTGTAAGTTTCATGAGGCCTCCCCAGCCCTGCACAACCGTGAGTCGATTAAACCTCTTTCTTTGATAAATTACTCAGTCTCCGTTATGTTCTTATAGCAGTGTGAGAACAGACTAATACAGTACATATTATATCTGTTATCCTATTTCAATGGATGGGATGGGTTATTTTGAAGTTAAAGGACTATAAAGAGACATAGGCACTTAGTGGTAGGAGAAAGTATAAGAGAAAATAAATTGCAGTAGAGATTTTCCAAAGTTCTTCCTAAAAGGAGGTCTGCTTCACCTGTGGTGTGGGCTTTGAGGATTGTCCAGTCTCTAGCAGCATTAAATGTAGTTCTCTATGTTACATTTCCTTACTCCCTAAATTATATTAAGGTAATTTGATTGACCTAAGGTGGTAGTCAGTAATTGTCACCCACCTTAGCAACATTCATCAATGTACTTTGCACCCTCTAAAGAGAGCAATGGTCAGGAGGGTGGGTGATGCTATTTAATGCTAACCTCACTGCCTGACTTCACTTACAATAATTGCTTTACATGTCAATTTGCTTGTCCCGTATAGTTAAATTAGAAATATCCCTTATCTAACCTAGGAGAAAACTGCACCTGCCTAGCTGGTAGGATTATTTTTAGATAGGCACACATTTTGAATAAGGAAAAATTAAATATGTATTTTCCACAGCAGTAATGTTCAGTACCTAATACTAACACTTCCTTTAGTTAAAGTCTCCCTACTTGATAATAGTCAGTGAGAAGTTAGCTGAGTTGTTTATAGACAATGGTCTTAAAACTTTTGAACCTGTACTCCTTTTACTGGGCATTATAATTAAAAGGCAAAATGCAAAGCAAATTTGCTAAAAAGATTAATATCTCATGAATGTTTCATCACGAAAGACCCAACTAATCGTCTAATCGGTTCCTCCATGACCACTACTTACACACCCCATACTAAGAGACTCTAAAGAAAGAAACCTGCATTTAAATTACCATCTGTTAAATTCTTTATAAGTGCCACCAAAATATGCATTTTAAATAAAATACCCTGTACACTGCACTTTAGGAAAGACATGAATTTTAATGCATTTCCAAGGAGCAGATAAGAAAGCAAATCAGGGCTTACTCAGTGTTCTCAAATGACAACCCCAGACCTGGAGCTAAGTAAAAAATGGATTCAGCCGTAAAGCCCAGAGTCCTGTGCTGTTGGAGCTCAGAGGGCTCTCTGCTTCAAAAATAGGAGACCCTGCATATCATTCAATTTGCTTTCACAAACATTTTGTCGAATGCTTACAACATGCCAATCATTCAGATATGTAACCCCAGAAGATTTAAAGAATCACAAGACCTACTTTTTGCTTTGGAAGTGTTCAAAAGTAAAGGATTTTATGATAAATGGGCAAAACTAGATGTATAAACAAAGTATTTTACGACACTGATAAGGGTTATAGTGATGTCTTCACAGTGCTATGTTTTTGGACGTAGATGGGGAACAATTATTCTTTCCAAGGAAGGTCAGATCTCGGGAAGACTGCTTTTCTCTTGCTCCCCTGTCATCATCCAAAGGAATAAAGTAACATAGATTAGGGCGTTTCCTATAATAACCTCTCAAGAAATATTTGTTCATTTGACCTGAACTGTAGCATTTCTAGCTCTTAAAATATTTAGGGTTTTTGTTGTTGTTGTTGTTGTTGTTGTTGTTTTTAATTATTATTATTATACTTTAAGTTCTAGGGTACATGTGCATAACGTGCAGGTTTGTTACATATATATACTTGTGCCCTGTTGGCATGCTGCACCCATCAACTCGTCAGCACCCATCAACTCGTCGTTTACATCAGGTATAACTCCCAGTGCAATCCCTCCCCCCTCCCCCCTCCCCCCTCCCCATGATAGGCCCGTGTGATGTCCCCCTTCCCGAGTCCAAGTGATCTCATTGTTCAGTTCCCACCTATGAGTGAGAACATGCGGTGTTTGGTTTTCTGTTCTTGTGATAGTTTGCTAAGAATGATGGTTTCCAGCTGCATCCATGTCCCTACAAAGGACACAAACTCATCCTTTTTTATGGCTGCATAGTATTCCATGGTGTATATGTGCCACATTTTCTTAATCCAGTCTGTCACTGATGGACATTTGGGTTGATTCCAAGTCTTTGCTATTGTGAATAGTGCCGCAATAAACATACGTGTGCA